GGGGTGTGTTTTGAAGGTCCAGTAGCTGATTCTCCTGCGGTGATTCATCAACGGACGTCTTATCAGAATCCAGGAAGTCAGAATACTTCTCCATCTCAAGAAACTAAGAAGCCTGGCGACAACCAGGAAAGTTCTCGAGGGTTGCTGGGATTTGATGGCAACAACATTCCATTTCTTGCTGCGAGTCTGGTCATATCTGGTTCTGTGTTGATTGCGGCGATGCTGGCATTGTTGAAAGGTCGGCATTATATTCGCACAAGGAAGGTGAAGAGGGCAGAAGAAGTGGAAGGTGCAGAGGGTGTGAATGCTGGGGCATGGAGGGTACTCGATTCCCCAGCTCCCGCTGCCCCGTGGAGGCCAATCGATCGCTCGTTGCCCACAATTAAGTCGGGAGAACAGCTCGATATGGGTCTCTATACAGTAATAGAGGAGGATTTATAACTGCGGCAGTCTCTTAGAAACTACATAGACTGAAATACACCATCCCATGTTCTCCAGTCCGGATGGTCGGCTTGCATAATTTTTTTCCCATTTTTAGTTCCCTTGGTCTTAAGATGCTTTGGTCCCCTTTGGAGGCTTTTACCAAGATGCCTCCATTTTTTTATTTTTTTATTTTTTTTTAGTTGCCTCCTTTTCCCTTTATCCCATATGATGATACGCAGCGTTAATCTTCTCCAATGATTCGGCAGATGCAAATCCGCTTTTCTATCGTTAGGTTTGCTCACTGCTACTGGATCTCCCGTCTTATCCATCTCTATTTCCATTTCCACTGATTGCCAATTCCAACTGAGCAATAATAGAAGCCTGCTACCTTGCAGTGTTGTATCCACCACTCGCTCTTCCCGCTTGACCCTCCTACCTTTGCCATGTCCTCGCTACGAATCGCACAACCTTTGAAACACAATCTTCGTGGGACTGGCATACACTTTGTGCCTTCCGCGCTCCTCCTTGCTCCCACTGCCTGCACGTGCTTTGCCTACCAACAGGGCTACTGCTTCCCAGCTTCTCTGGGTTTCGCTGCCTGTCCCTCATGTTTTCTGTCCTTGACTTCCTCCACCTTCCTTGCGTTTCACATCCTGCACCTCTCTCTTCTCCACTATCGCTTTTCTCTTAGGTCTTTGCAGCACTTCCCAGGAACTGTCCACTTGCCAGCAACACATTACTCATGAGTTCTGTTGACATCTGCTGCTCTGGGAAACCTTGGTGGCGTTGACGCTTTTTTCGCTGTGTGTGTGTGGAGATGTGTGTGTGTGGAGATGGGTGTGTGGAGATGTGTGTGTGTGTGTGTGGAGGTGTGTGTGTGTGTGTATGTGTGTATGTGTGTATGTATGTGTGCGTATGTCTGTGCGTATGTGTGTGTATGTGTGTGTGTGTGTGTGTGTGTGTGTGTGTGTGTGTGTGTGTGCGTGCTACTCGTGAGTTATGTCGACAATTTTGTGCTGCATACTCCCTCTTTCCTTTCCATCCAATGAGTCAAAAGAGGTAGCATGATATCTGAGCTCAGCATGCACATAGTTTTTCCATGAAGTGGGACAGCTCATGCCCGCGAGTGTGCAACAGAATGCCCTATGTATAGCAGACAAGCCTGCTCGGTTAACATTATCCCCGACTTCCGCCGCAATGAATACGCGGCTCTGAGGACAACTGGCGGCTCTGGCTGCTCCTTAAAACATTAACATAGAAGCGATAGACTCAGCTGGTGCACGTAACAAGAAATCACTTGGTGAAGTTGGTGGCAGTCGATACATTGTTTGATGTGGGGTTCCTTTACGGCGATGCGTCGCCGCAGAGATGCATCCAACGCTTGCTGATGAGTCCAGAGGCCGTTCGCGTTCGTCAGGTACAGCATTCGTGCGGATGTTGGCACTGCGCAGATTGAGGTGGGGAAGGCTATGCTGGTGCTATGTTCATGCTTGGAACGCATGAACCTAGCCATAGTAGCAGGCAGGATCGTGGTTGCCTAGCATGAATGGAGCACACCACTGGGGGCCTGAGCCTTACACTGAGAAGTCGCGACTTTATAAACCTGATTCATGCTGATTGAGCTGGTTGAAGATGGGGAAAACCCGTGAGAAGTAAAATAAATTGAGAGAGCGAGGAAGGGGAAGCGTGGATGGGGCGCTAACTTGCTGCTGCCGCTTCTGCTGAAACGAAGGACGATTCAACCGAATCAACAACACGCATGGCATGCTTCAGGCAGATGAAGAGCTAGCGAAGTGGGGCTGGGGGCTGGAAGTTCAGGTCTGAATCATTGAAACTCTTCCCAAGGAACAGTGCGCGTAGTGCTATGCAGAGATCAGACGCAGAGTTAAATTGAAGGCTCTGGCTGCCTATTCAGATTCCACAGCTCATCGATGATGCGCACTTGGTGCTCACCACTCTGGCAGTTGTTAGCCTGATTAAAAGGGGGGGCAATTTGTACAAGGACGTCCACATTTGTCAAGGGTGACGTCGACGTAGACTGAAGCCCACCGTTTTCATTTTCTTGTCCTTGGTAGCTTCTCAATGTTTCATTCTTGTCCTTTTTGTCGATGTGCTCTCAGCTGTGATTACATTAGCCATCTCTGTGCCAGGAATGACTGGAAGTTACAAACCGAAGTGCTTTTGGAGTGCTTTTGGAGTGGTGAGGAGTACAAGAGAGAACTCGCACGAATGCTGTAGATGGCGACGGTAGAGAGAAGCAACTGGCGGGACAGTGGAAGTTTGAAGGCTGTCTCTCAATTCTGTATCAGGCAGCTGAGAGAGAGAGAGAGAGAGAGAGAGAGAGAGAGAGAGAGAGAGATCATGTGAGGGCTGTAGAAGATGGCAGGGGTAGAGAGAGAGAGAGAGTACAAGACATGGCTGGATTTCTGGCTAACCTCTTGATCTGCACAGCATCTGGATGTGTTTCTCAATACTGTCTTTGGCAGATGAAGCAGATGATCTATTGCGTAACTGGAGTGGAGTGTCGGTAGTGCAAACCCTGGGAGGCAGTTTTCTCACTGCTGGACTGTGAGAGAAAACATACAAGGAATCTTGATTGGAAGTTGTGGTGCAAAGTACAGTTTTGTCACAAGTGGAAAGATGTGCTCTCAGGCTCTGGAATAAGGAGTGGGAAGACATGGGAGAAGTGTGAAGGCCACCGTCGTCACCCGAGTAGAACATCTGGTCATTATGGTCCAAGTTTCAGTCTAGATGTGGCCATTACGACCGGGTGTTCTGTTCAGGCGAAGACGGTAGTCATAGAAGCCGCCGACGATGTCCCCTACCGCCTCTCCTGCTGACCGCTGGATTGCAGACGCTTCTGATGGGCATGTGTACCCACAGATCGAGACAGCCGTCACACTCCAAGGCAGCAGGTACGGTGAGTCCGTGAACTCCATGGATCTATCATAATGATTTTATCATGTTAATGATGATCGTAATGGCCACAGATCCCCGAACGCCTCTCCCGCTGACCGCTGGATTGCAGACGCTCTCTGTAATGGACACAAGTGATTTGGGTCACAAGTGAGGCGTGCATATGGGGTTGAACTCCCCACCTCCCATAATGGACACAAGTGATTTGGGTTGGACTTCTGTTTTCCTCTGCTTCTCCTGTGTGTTGATGGCTTTCTCATGATCCATTCTTCAAATGATGGTTGAGTTCTTTTGAGGAAGGTGAGGAGGAGAAGCAAGCAGGGTCCCTCATGGCTCTATCATGTCATGCAACCCGCGCCGTGCCGCAACTCGCCATTCCCCTTTTTTTTCGTTGGCCGATGCTTTTCGCTTTTAGTTGTCGATCCGTCTTGTTGTAGAACCTTTCGCTTTTCGGTGTCGATCCGTCTTGCTGTAGAACTCGATGCCCGCGATGCAGTGGATGAGACCAAGCATAAGCCGTTCGTTCATCCAGACGTGTGATACTATGGCACTGATGAGAGCCTATTGCCCTATCACGATTCGCCTATGCGCCCCAGGTTTAGTGCTCTTCAGAACCTTTCGCTTTTCGGTGTCGATCCGTCTTGTTGTAGAACTCGATGCCCGCGATGCAGTGGATGAGACGAAGCATAAGCCGTTCGTTCATCCAGACGGGTGATCCTATGGTACTCATTAGAGCCTATTGCCCTATCACGATTCGCCTATGATCCCCAGGTTTCCTGCTCCTCACTGCTCTCTTGTTTAGGCTTAGAACCTAACCGCCCTTCTTCGGCAGTTGGTGACTCGCAAAGATTGCAAGCGCAACGGATAAGCTGGATGGCACCGGTATCTTGCCAGGTTCATTACCCTCGTCATGGCTTTTGCCATATCTGTGATCCCGATCCCGCTATCAAGACTCGTCACACGTCATGGCTTTTCCCAGATCTCTGAGTCCAGTGTCTATTCCATTTTGCTGCTCTTCTCCCAATGCCGAACTTCATTGAACTTTCAATATTTCTGCAGCCTTCATTTTTCCTTCTTATGCTGCCAAGTTCTGAGCACTTAGATGTCTCTTCTGCTCAGATTAGAAATGCCTGAAGCCCTGAGGTAGCGAAGGAGTTTCAGCAGCAAAGGCTTGATGAGACAGCGATTATTGTGACCTGTCTGAAATGACTCCGAATGGAAGTCGTTGGACTCGCATCCTCGTAGTGGACTGAGAGGATGTGTTGTGAGAGGAACTCTTGTCTGCAAAGCTGCAGAAAGACTTCTCTGCAGTGTCGACAGAAAGTGTTTTTTTTTTCAAACATTTTTTCCACCAGGGAGTGTTCTGCTAAGCTGTGGGACGCTGCCTGTCGACCCAGGTCACCGATGTGACGCCGCGTTCGGTTGTGCGTCTGTCGATCGTATCCGTTTCCCTCGTCCAAAGGGTTTGCCTCCATTCCTTGTGGGAGTTGGCGGAGGAGTGGAGCTTCACCGCACCGCACCTGCTGCAAGGCTGTGTTCACATAATTGAGAGAGACCTGTGCAACAAGTCCCAGGACCGGGTGGAGGAACGTCGTTGTACAAATTGCAGAATATAAAATTTGATAATCAAATTCATTCATAAAGTTCGTAGTACTGCGTACACTTATCGAGGATCAGAGCAGCATCATTCCTAGTTAGTTGTTTGTCCCAAATTCTCCCAATGGAGGATGTTGCTCGCAAGATACATCCATCTTCTAATTCATACCAGTTCAATTATTCAGTTTCCTTCCACCACAGAGGGTGCAAGGAAAGGGAGGGTGTTTTGAGGAGGGGCCCCACGGACGGGGGGGAAGGACAAAGATTCTTCCAGAATAGGGGGTATTATAACATGACTGCAGAGTATATCTAGTTATATGCGACTCTAGTAAAGGGACCTTGTGGGGGGGGGGGGGGGGGGGGGGGTTGCAGGACTTTTGCTCGTACGAATTTAAATCCAACTGTTTGTGCCCCTATACACGTGAACGAGTATCCGTGTGTGTATGCACGAGTTTCTTTGCATCAGGAATGATGGTTAAAGCTGTCCGATCTTGCATTATGAGAAGAGAATCAGACGGCACGCGCGCGCGCGCGCACGAGAGAGAGAGAGAGGTGGTGAACTCTGATGTTAGATTACTGTAGAGAAGAGAAGAATATGAAGATGATGTTGGACTACCGATGGGGAGAGATTCATAACAAGACGTCTCAAGGATTGTGCACGTGTTACGCAGAGAAGTGTGCTAACGTGTGCATGAGTGTGCACGCGCGCTAGAGAGAGAGAGAGAGAGAGAGAGAGAGAGAGAGAGAGAGAGAGAGAGAGAGAGAGAGAGAGAGAGAGAGAGAAGTAGGCAGACAGCAAGATAAATAAACACAGGGTTGTAATTCTAAGGTAACATGTCGAATTCGCTACAATAATTTCGAGGCCAAATCAACACACCGTAGTTCAGCATCTCTGCCATCTGCCATTCTGGCGTGTACCATACGCAATGTTGTGCTGACGTCTTTGGAAAGTGATTCAACACACCGTAGTCGTCATTCGTCTTTGCGTACTGGATGGATGAGATGGCATGTTGATCGTCTCCACTCCCCCGTAGAAAACGGAGATGTGATTTGTACAAACAGTTTATGTTTCTTTACTTCTTGTCATGCACACGCCCTTGTGGTTGCTGTGGGATCAACTGTGTGGGCTACACCAACTTATGTTTTCCGCTGAAAGAACAGCTCACTTTGTGAAGCCCCTCCCTGGACACATGGGGAACGCATAGCGGCCATCCCGATTTCTTGTGGGAGGCAGTGCTGTGCCGCTAGCTGAAGATAAAAAATGAAAAATTGGGATGTCTCCCAGTGATGCCAGTCTAGAGCTCCTGCTACTGACTCGATAATCTCGTGATTTTGATTTTTCTAGTCCTTGGGTCCCTGGAGATGGACTGAACTAATTAAAAAAAAAAGTGTAATCCCACATCTACTTGTATTGGAACATTTGACTAACACAGTGATCAGCTGGCCGTGCCATCGCATCGCCATAAGATGGCGAGTCCACCACCCGAGAGCCTAACTTGGTGGGTACACCCATGAACTGTTGACATACAGACCCGTGTTTGAATCCAGATGATGGAGCTTGATGAGTAAGACCAGTCACTACTGAATTGCCTGGAGCCGGTCAGGTCAAAAATGATATCTGAACACCGTCACCTGCTGGGTAGTCGAGCGAGGCCCTAAGAGCACTGCCTGATCGAACCTTGCTTCACTACTCGCCAGGGGAAAGAACCAAAAAAGAAAGCAACTGCTGAGAAAAATAAACGATGATTCCTTTCTTTTGGCGTTTGTGCGCGCGGTGAGTAGTTGAGCGAGGCCCTTTCGACTGCTCACCAAACGGGCAGAGGCCCTGGCTGCAGTACTCTTCAACTGTGTAAAAAGAGACTGGATGCATCTCTAGAACATGGAACGACGCATTGCCATCTTTTTTGTTCTGGAGAGTAATGCAACCACGCCCAAATTCCAAAAAAAAGAAATTTCGCCTGGAACAGCGAAAGATGCACCGCCATACTTTGGGCCTTGCTGCTCCACTCTCAAAATGTGCAAAATGAGACGGAATCTACGGCTAGAACATGGGAGGGATACATTGCCATCTTTTTTGTCTTTTGTGCATGTGGAGAGTAGTGCACCGAGGCCCTTTTGTCTTTTTTGTCTTTTGGTGCCGACCTACAATCTCCTCCCCCCCCCCCCCCCCCCCCCCMATCCTTCCTCTTCCCTCAGCTGAAGCCCGTTCACCACAACGAATGGGCACAACTTCCTGCATGAGAAGGTGATGGAGGGGGAATATAAAGGGAAATCCACAAGAAAAACGGAAAAAAAAATTGTCAGGCTGCCGTGGAAACGGATACCCACTACTTCCTCTGGGAACTACGAGTCCCCATCAGTTCACCTTACTCCGCATTACGCTCCGTTCTTTTTTTTTTTTTTTTTTAAACGTATCCCGTTGGCATAAAGCCAACGCTCATATCATGGGTCACACCCGTGAACTGCTGAAATGCAGGCACTAATTCAATTCCATATTGAATCGATTCAATCGAAATCACGAGGAAAACAATTTTGATGATTTTTTTTTTTTTTTTTTTTTTTAATGTATTTCCTCTTGGCCCATGGGGCTGCATGCACGACCGCTTTTGGCCTCATGACCCAGAATGCCAGGATGGACTGCGCCATACAGGTCTTGGCTGGCTGCTCCCATCAAAAGGAGCTTGCTCAGTTTGAGGCCAGTTAGGCTTGATCCCATGTCTACTGGGTGAGAGTCCGACATTGTAACGTATTGGGATAGCTCCTCCTCCTTCGGAAGAAGTATGAGCAATCCCGCTGTATGAGGGGTTGTTCAAAGTGCCCCCACTCATTCCGCGGCTTGGCAGATCCTATTTGCTTTACAATTTCACATGGCTGGCCACCTGCCTTTAGCTCAGTGGTGCCCCATGCGTTAGGCTAAAGGGTCGGGCTCTCAAGCCCCTTGCGTGGGATCAAACCTTGGAGGCCTATCTGGACGAGGCCCGTTAGAAATGTAAAACAAATAAATCATGAAAATGAGCGGCTTTACTGTGCGCTGTTGCAGCAAATCTAACACGGTCATTCTTTTTAGCTACTTAGGCCCTGAATCGCGCGATTGCTAAGCCACACGTCCTTATATTGGTTAGGACAGGCTTGAGATTAAATTTGCCCATGACCTTACATCCGTGCGGCCTTACAAAAATCGGGAAGAGACTGATCACACTGCTGGTTTTCACTGTCATTTGAGGATTATCCCAGACATCCGGACTTAGGTTAAAAAATGTTTGACCCTCTCATTGGTAGATATGGTCGGAATAACTTTTAGGCAGGCGTCGCTCAATTCAGTGAAGTGATCGGACAACGTTCGATATTGAAATAACTCGAGCAGACACCCTTGTAAGGATTTTTGCTCAATAACTTTTAGGCAGGCGCCTCAATTTTTTCATACTCAATTCAATGAAATGGTCGAACAACGTTCGACATTGAAATAACCCAAGCAGACACCCTTGTTAGGGTTTTTGCTCCAACAACGGCAATAAGAGATGCATAATAAGCATACATATCGGAGTCTGATAATTTACATTGTTGTACTACATTTCAATAGTCAAATAAGTAAAAGAAATATACCACTTTTTTGGTGATTCATCAAAAGATGACGTGGTGGAGAAATGGAAGAGGACCTTCAACTGCCACAACTTCTCACAAATCGATAGGTTTCTAATATACACAACAAGCTAAAGGTTGTACAAAATATAAATGGGCCATAGGACATTATAAATGGTATGAGTCCGTATGACGTCATTCTACAATCAGTTGTCGAGGATTAAAAAAATAATGCATAAATACCTAGGCTACCAGAGTGGCCCGCGACCACTTGCCCGCCCATCCCAAAACAAATAAAATAAAAGGAAAGTTAAAAAAATATTTTTTACTAGGCTACCAGCTGGGCCGCCCGGGTCACCCTGTTTTCCCAAGCGGCCCAACCGTGCAAGGACCACGGAAGGTCCCACCAAAAAAAAAAAAAAAAAAAAAAAAAAAAAAAATTGGGAAAACAGGATGACGTAACAAGGGGTAGGGACCATAAGAGGGACAAAACGACACTATTCGGTCGCAAGGGCATTACCCTCCCCACAATACTCCCGGCGTCTTTCTCCCACATGTAACCTAGACAACTTTTGCAACAGGGTCACATCGAATTTTTTTACCAAATTATAGGCCATTACTAGGCGGCCATGCTGTGCCTCTAGTGCCAGCGGCGTGTCTGGAGTGTATTTTTTGGCTGTGACAGACCTTTCTTTGTTTCGTGGATNAGTTTTCCATCTGGTGTGGGTGAGTGATAGTCTACTTTGATTTTGGTTAAGGTAGATTATCATTTACAGTGTAATCAGTGAGGGGATTCTGCAGACTGAGGGTTCGGCCTCCTGATGAGTCGGTGAAACTCCCACAAAATAGTTTGTCACAGCCCTTCGTTTGTTGTCATCTTCTCTCTCTCTACCTACGGTTTACCGGGCAGTTCTGTTTGTGACAATATATATATATATCGTCACAAATAGAACTGGTCGGTAAACCGTAGGCAGAGAGAGAAGAGGACAACAAACGAGGGGCTGTGTATATATATATATATATATATATATATATGACGATATATATATATATATATATACGATATATATAGTGGACCTTTACAAAAGATTTTAATTTCACAATTACTAAGTCACTGGTTACTCAAAATCATGGCTATTCTGTTGAGTTTTCCTGTTTTACAATTGCTATATATATAATTGTTTTTTTTTTGGGCGGAGAAAGTGGTCCTTGACCATTCTGGTAGCCTAAATTTTCTAACTTCAATTTTTTTGTTGTTGATTGGGGAGAAGATGAATTGGTGTGGTATGAAGTCACGATTATTACTATCCTAATCTGGAAAACTTTATGTTGTTGTCACAATCCCGCCACGTGGCAGCCATGTGGTTGACCGAGACTGGTTTATCGCGACCAGCCGCTTGCGATTTCTTCATTTGCGACTTCTCTCCCTCCGACACTTCTTGATGTTTTTTAGGTTTTGGTAAATTAGT